TCCGTAACCGTGCGTCTGATTTCATTGTTTTTTTTAATACTCGCTATGATAATACTTATTTCATTGATTTGTAGAAAATTATTGTGCTGTGAAAAGATTCGTTGTGCGGAATATTATATTGGTCAACGCCGTGTATAATCTTGGATACATTTGATGCTAAGTTTCTAACATTTCACCACATTGCCATAGAACTCTTTCCAAAAAATGGAATATTCATTTCAAACAGATTTTATTGATTCCATTCGAGTAGAACATGGATAACTGAATCGAATTCAAGCCGAACTTCTTTCCAATTCAATTTTTCAGATGGAATCCTTTTTGTGTTCGGTCTCGAATCGAAAAAGAAACCGAATTATTGCAATTTGATGGGAAAGAATTGGTCTTCATATTTGAAATAAATTGAAAACCCGGCTGAGTTGACTTATAGTCATTTTACTACTAATTCTAATTCATTATCTAGTTCAGCAAAAAAATATTCAATAAAAAAATTTAAGTGATTCAACCAACGCCATCAATGCATTTATGTATAGAATCCCACACTATAGGACGAGTACTCACTTGTCAGGTTAATTTTGTCCTTTGATAAAATTTGAAAAATAAAACTATGAACTACATGGCGTAGATTACGACATTCTGATTAGCTAGTTTCCCAGTAGTAAAAATATTGTGCTAAATGTTCTAGCCTTCCAGAACACGTTGCAGAATATAATAATTTTGTGTACGGCTTCTTATGATTTCTCGTCTGAATATTGGTACTACATACTTCCCAAATTCGAAAACTTGATAATCACTAGCGAAAAGTAGCATCCGAATTTTCGGTATGGGCTTTTATTCATTCGTGTGGTTGGCCAGTTCTCGCCTTCAGCGTAGATATATACTATTGTTATATAACTTGTACACGATGTGTTTAGGATATCATTGGTTTACACAAGGAAAGAAAACCTCAATAGAAATTATGTTGAAGTTTTGTATATTACGGAGCGTTTTGTTTTACTTCGATGTGCAATTCACACCGATCTATAATTCTACTTCATTGTTTAATTTAACGACGGTGTTATTGGTCTCATCTTACGTGACCCACTCTCCAATGTATCTACCCAATTCGTTTTAGCGAATTTTCTACTTCATCAACCTTGCGATTCTTTTCATCCGAATTTATCAATTTTTTCCAATTTATCTACCTTTCCGTTCCTTATATTAACCTATACCATCGCGGTGCCTTTCATCCATGATTCTATTTTCCACCTTTTTTCTCCTATCCCTATTATTCTATTTTTAGCCGAGTCTAACATACTTCTGCCTGCTGTCACTTGCTTTTCATCAGTTTTCGGAACAAATACAAAAAATATAACACTTACAGCGGAAACCATGCAGCCTTAACAGCAGTATCCAGTTAGATGAGGAATTGAATGAACGACGGATGAGAAATACTAGAAGGATCATTGGCCGAATGAGGGTTTTTATTTTCTCATATCGTTACGTTGATATGAAGTATGTTAATATGCTTAATTCCCTTAAATCAATACAATCAGAGAAGTGAGAACTTCAGAGATTCAAAATTCTCCACCTAGATAAGCCTGATAGACTAAAGGGGAATAGACGACAAGACGGTACATCACCACAAGTTGGACTGTGAAATGAAAAGAGATCACGAGTTCAATTAGAGAGCAAAACTAGCAGGCGTTAGCAATCATGCGACTGTAGATGAGTTATTGAAATGTATTGGTATACTTTCTTTGCCATCAATAAATTGATGGCGAGCTTCTGAATGGTTTTTATAAAAATTTTTGTCCTATTAATTTATATCTGTTAAGAATGTATATAGATTATATGATTATGTTACAATCAATATCACAATAACTCTAGAACTTTGTATTTGAGAGTATAAATGTTTTAATTAATTATGATAGGGTACATTGCGAAGACCATTTGCATATAAAACAATGAAGTCGGTCAAGTCAATTTTGAGATTAACGCCTTCCATTGTAGTGATAATAGTATATTACGCACGCGTTTCATACAAAATTTCATGTCATCGCGCCCGGAATCCGCGATTTAATCGAGCGATTACGGGCACCGATGGCATAAATGTAAAATTTTGTCCGAATTTTAAGTTAATAGTTCGATTTTTGCGCGGGTAGGAGGGGGAAACGATTTGAACAGAAAAAAATTGAAATATCTTAAACACTTTGTATGGGCGACTATATATATTTTTATCGATTATCATAGGGGACATCAAGAAAAAAATTTTCAGATAAAAAAAACGAACTTGATCAAGTCAAAGTTAAGATATTCCACATAATCATTTTAACATAAAAATTGAAAATCTCCGAAACTCATCTTTCAATTAAGATGCAATGAAAGCCTCGTTCCGGAAGTACAGCTCCAGTGAAATTATGTTCATTTTTAATTCTTAAGTTCATGCCGATAACTTCTACACAATTACAATAAATTGGAAAAAATTTATTGAAATTATTCCGATACATATGTATTCAGGATAAGCAATTTTTCCAAAATTATTGATAAAAAAGATTGATTATCCCTAGTTATTACTAACATAACCAACCTAACTCAAACCCCAACCTAACCCATAGAGACCACGCGCAAGAATTTCTGTGACAGTTATAAACCACTCTTGACTTGTGACTTAGTGGAAGATTTATCAAAAAAACCCAACTTAAGTACCATGAAAAACGCATTAGCAACTTAGAGATTTATAATGAACGCTAGGGGAAAAAATTCCTCACACTCAGGCGCCATGACACGAGGCAGCCATGACGGGTGAAATTGTTCTGCTGCAATTATTCGTTGAAATTATTTGCGCAAAATATCCGTGGTGAAGTGGGTCGAATTGTTCAGGAGATGTCAAGCGAGCACCAGTCTTGACGGTGGTGAGTTTTTTTTTCAGGATCTTCTTTTAATTTTTTTGTAGGCTATTCACTTCCGATAAAAATCGTTGATTTTCATTTCGCACCCATTGGACATTTTAACTTAATTATATTTTAAAATGTAGAGGTGAAAAATTAAAAAATATTGAAAATATTGAAATAAAAAAATTTGAAAAATAGAAGAAAATGTGCTCTTTTAGATGAATATAATTAGATGGTGGATCTTTCGTGGGATTCTTCATTTTCATTGTACTTGAAGCATATTGTTTGTTAACTAATTAATTTAAGTCCTTTTTAATACCATCCGTTGGAGTGATGAAGGGACAATCTCGTCCAAATTTGAAGTTAATAGCTCGATTTTCACGCGGGTCAGATTGCGAAAAACATTTGTTTTTCAAAAACCTAAAAGTCACAATAACTATGAGTTTTTGCAGAGTTCACTAGTCTATTTTTTACTGACTCCAATAAAGCCAATCCTTACAAAGAGAATGAAAAAAAAACTGAATACGTTGCTTAGTTTTGGAGATATATCGAAAAACCATTTATAAACAAGTCATGATTTCTCACAACCGGCTATACCGATCGAGCTGAATCTAGCTCCAGAGTTAGCCTCAACTCATACCTACTTTGTGACAAACTCAAATTTTTTGAAATTTTTTTACCCACCTATCTTTTTCCTCTTTTTTAACTAAAAAATCACTTCTGGCCAAAGGTACCACGTACAGACATTTTCAAAAAATTTTATATTTTTACATTTCAGACCATTCTACATAGCTTCCAAGCCAAATTAGAATTTTTTTTTTGTGGTCAGGATTGGACGAATGCAGTGCTTCCATGCGGAAACAAAAACGGATTATGGTATAAAATTACATTAGTGGACGAATTAAACATTGTAATAAAACAGTATATCAGGGTGAATAGAATAATAGTCATTACGTGACTAGTAGAGAATAGTAGAGATTACGTGAATAGGGACAAATAATATCAAGAGTAAAGGGGATGAAAAACATAATGTGCTGTTTATTCCATTATTCCATTACATCCACTTTCTAATCGGCCCCCGAGAAATAACTATTGTCGCCCATCCTATCCTAAATTCTAATTCATCGCAATCCCCACCCGTCCTATTTCTGGTCGAGAACCATAAGAGCTTATTTTTTGACCTCTCTCCGCAATTAAGTTCCTTCAATTGCCCCACCCCTATGACATCCCCACTTACACCAATGATTAATTGATTCATATTTCCAATCATGAAAGCCCCAAGTCCCGATTGCTCCACATGGGACTGGAGTCTCTGATGGAAACTCGGATGACTCCCAATGTCTCGAATTCTCGTATTTTTTATTACCATAAATTATCTATTTTTTTCGATATTGTATTATGATCGGATTGATGGGCAAATGGTCGATTATGACGACAAAAAATTTTTTACATTTTTCGGCTAGTTTTCAGACAATTTTCACTTTTTTCGAAAACCTCTTTTGGTATTCGCTCCCCAAGCTTGCCTATTTTAAAAATGTCTACATACACGGACAAAAGTGGATGATATTGCTATAATATAGGAAATTTTACCATAAACATATGGTAAATGGTGTTTCCGTACTGCTTCTCATAATTTCTTGTCTGGGAATTGGTACTGCATACTTTCCAAACTCGAAAACTTGAAAATTACTACGGCAGAATAATATCTCGACTGTTGGGATGGGTTTTTTTCGGCTCAGCTCACCAAACTTTCCACGAGTAAAAAATCCCCATCCCAACAGTCCAGAAATATACTATCTCCATTGCATATCTCCAGTCCATATCTATTACCTTTGTGTCAATTTTTGCCATGTAGACTAGTAGAAATTACATTGCCCTTCAGTAACTAATATCAATGATTGTGGGACGTTTTACCATACTCGATATCGTAACAACTCCTGAACATATGAGCAGTTTGCTGTATTCAACAAATTTTTAAATCTGTTAGATATCAATCTTGATAAAATGATCTACTTCGTTATACTCAAGTTAGTACCTCACTGTAATCTAGAAATATCAAATTCCTTTAGATGATGTTTATCATTACTGTCGTTTTCGTTTAGAAGAACATTGTAACATGAGTTGACTTACGTTGGCTACTGCTTCGTCTTATGATATTCTCCAAGAAGGTGTTTTGAGGGGCTACCAGGCCCCTACGGCCGCCTGGCATCCTTCCACAGTTTTAATAATTTAAGCTGTTCGCCAGCCTTCCTCCCCCGGTCAGCATTTATTCTGACGATCCGACTATTCTGATAACGAATCACCAAATTTTTTGAACCGTACAACCAACCAAATTACACAAACCCCTCATTAGCCGTCCCCTCAATTCCCTTCCTCAAATTCACACACCAAATCACAACCCCCCCCCCTGATGAAGACTGCTGCCTTATTTCATGAAGTGCTCGTTACATTACGGCATCGTTACGATAGCATCGTTCTAATCGACACATTATGTTACACAAACAATACTATCAACAATCCACTAGTCAAACCTCGTCGACTCAATTTCACAATATTCCCCAACTCTACTTTATCAACACAATCATAATTGTTTACATGATCCACTAAATCTCCTCTCCCCTTTCTATATCTCCATCTTCTTTTCAATGCACTAAAAGTCCCAACGTAAGAACAGTAATTTTCCATATCCGCGTCACTCACCAGTCCGTCAAAATCCTCCTGCTTATGTCCATTTTTTTCATCATCAATTGAATAAAACATTGGACATATTTTTTTTCATCCTCAAATCAGGACAGCTATCACTCTCCATTGTCACCTCATTATCGATGTGCGTGTTTCACTTATTTGCCTACCGCTGCACGCGATTGTTGACTGAAGGAATAATATGGCGAATAAATTGAACCGTTAACACTACTTGTCGCGACAATAATTATCATCATTAATTGATTTCCGAGTTGAAAAAACACTGTGATTCCTTAACCGCAATCCTTCCAATTGTGAATATTTGATTGTACCGTCGACAGTGAACCACCCACTCTTCCCATCGACATTCTCAGAGTCTTCCTCTTTTGTATTACTCGTGGTCACGGAAGACATCGCTTCCAAATATTTATAAGGTGTGAATTATCTATGTTTTATATATTGTCTTCTTCTCTTGTGTTTCAATTTCCTGATAACGAAAATTCTGAAAGCAAAAATAGTGAAACTTAATCTCAGGTGAACAGCATTTTGGTCGTATTCATGAAGAAAATTAGAATGCCTGTGATAATGTGGACAAGGAATTATAAGTTCAATTATAAAACAATGACGAGGCTGGATAAGCAGAACAAGTGGTAGGGGCAATGCAGTATTGGACAAGCAATGAGATGGATACAAAGGTAGTACTTATTGTTCGTAAACCGAAGAGAGTTAATAGCATATATATTGATACATTTTGAATTATAAATAGAACATTCAATATTTATTCGGAACGGCGTTGATGGTAATTAATAATTCAGGAGTACATATGGGACGTCGTCTTGTGAACAGGCATACCTGAACAGCCTAAAAAAGATTTTTAGAAGTGTCTTATCCTACATTAGATTGAATAATGAACAAAAATAATTGGAGAAGCAAGTAGATCAACTTCTTCGGCTAGCATTATTAATAATGCATTTCCTGTAATATGTTCCACCAAAGAAAATGACAAATGGGCTGATATGTGAAACGAGAGTAGGAATTCCACTTTATTGTCACCATGTAAGGCCGATGAAGATGATACCTATTGGAGCCTTCTGTATCATCAGACGATCAGACGATAGAAACCTAATTCGAAGAAGAGAATGCCATGTCTGGCTTTTCGACCATGGCGAGGACAAAGAGACGAAGAAATTGGGAGAGGTTAAGAATGGTTGCAGTCTGCAAGATAGGTATACACGATGGTAATTTTCGAGGAAGCTCGTGTAAGCCGCCAAAGCGAATATCATCTATTTTTGGACGAGGGTCGGTCGGTGAAGGTCTTGAAGACGTTGCGAGTGCTTTCTTCTAGTTCTATTCGTCCATTCCTTTATTTCTCCGCTTGTCCTTGCATACTTCCTGATCAGATAATAATGGTTTTTTTAGAAATAATGTTGATTAGTGAGAATGCATACTTTCAACGTAATTGAGGATCTCATGCAAAGCTATGGTCATAATTATAATTATACCACGGAAATGCAGAGTTTATGCATTTTGAATAATTGCATAGCCTACTCCATTAGTAAACCTTCTAATCAATAGAGATATTTTCACAAGAAACTGATGGTCACTTTTTTAAGAGTTTTGAAAATTTTAATCGGTAACTGGTAACTTCTTGTCGTATTCATAGTTTCGTGCACAAAGCACAATACAGTTTTTTATTTTCATTATTTTGATTTTGCACAATCTTAGAAGAACAAGGAAACCATGAAAATTAGGTCATTACAAAGTCAAGAATATTCTCACCACAGAATGAGACTATTCCTGTTCATTAGCTTCAGAGATATTCCAAAGACAACTTTTTAATGTAAAACTTTTTCTATTATGTTCTATAAAATTATAAAGATACGACTACTGATTTCGTAAATTCAACAGTGAATTTCCAACTCTTTTCCTGTAATGATTATTGAAACACACTCTCGGTAAATACTTTTAGATAAATGAATGTTTCAATTATAAAACATTTTCATAGCTCACTTTCTATAGACTTAAGTGGGGAAAATTATATCATGCTTATGCAGAATCCAAAGGAGAAAATCAGCTTGCATATACAGTGATAATATTGATAGGGTAGTAGTGCTGCATGTGACGTTCATCTAATCTAACGAATGGCGAGCACCGTAGTACACGCTTCAGATATTTTTTGAAGCCAGAAATCTTTGGAGCACAATCGTTGAGACTTTTTTATAGTTGGAAGACCTCTTTTAGATTCACTTTACAATTTTTTTCTTCTTTACACTTTCAACAGCTTGTCCACACAATTTCTTAAGATAGATAACAAAGAACATGTAATCTTAGCCGATTGGAGAAATACTTAAGGCAGGCTGTGCGTCATGCAGTTACTTTTTCCTGACCCCTTTAGGTCGATCGAGCGTACGAGACGAAAATTTGGAGAATCCATAACAATTGCAAATGGAACAAATACGTCTCATCTATGTCCTATGCCTCTTTAGACTTCGACTGCAATTGATAGGTGATAATAGGAAAGCAGTAATTTATCGGTGTGAAAGCTACCAGAATTAGTAATTAAAGCTGAATTGGAAAAATTCAGTTGACATTTTAGGGCAATATCAAGAATCCTCTAAGATAATTTCCAACGAGAAAAAAACGTGTACGAGCCGTAAACATCTGGCAAAGAAAATATTGTTCGGCAAATCACTGATTAAAAAAAAAATAGGTCAAAGAATGTTTATGTACATTCAACAGGGAATAATTACTGATTAACAATTGCTTCATGCTGGGAACGGTTTCGCATCTTTTATGAAATAGATGAAATTAAATTGTTGAGCACGATACATTTTGAACATGTTGAAGTTCGTCATCTTAAAAAAAATATTATGAATTATGAATACCAAAAATTGGCACCGAACTGCGTATTTGAAGAGTCCAAACACGTGTTCTGAATTTCATTGCTTTCAACTACGTATTATTCCCATATTTATTATTTTTCAACTATCATAAGTACAAGGGTCTCTCACAGAATTCCCGAAGGGGTACTGAACAGTGACGTCAAATTTGCAAACCCAATGCACGATCAAACATGTATACGCCTATATATGTCTACACATGACACGCCTGCAAGAGTACATCACTCACACAGCGAGTTGATGCATTCGATCATCAGAATCGATTGTTAAATTGGAAGTCTTAAATGAAGTTCCAGATTTTGAAGAAGAATTGGAATATAATGACGACAAATGGGAAAATTTGTCCACTAAACTGTTTTTTTAATGCATAATGGGCAAAAGCACGATGATTTAATCTTTAAAATTGAAATTTACAAACCCTCCGTGATTGTGAAAAGGATCGTTCTTGTCAGTGTCCAATCAAACACACCAAACGTTAAATCGTATCAGAATAAATGAAAAAAATAATAATCTAGGCAGGAAAATAACAAATGTAACATTTTAGTGACGTTAATGTTCGCAGTATCACTAAATCGGTTGAGTACTGACTAGCCTGGTGTGTCAGTGACTACTGGAGGCCCCTGCTAGGACGAATGGACATCTCTCGGTGGGGTTGCCGAGTAAGCCCGACGACGAGGAAGTGGGTGTGAGGGAGCGAATATGACGAGGGGTCGATCGAAGGTATAAGGGAGGGCGCCACCTCGCCGACAATCACAACCCCCACTCTGTTTGTTTTACCCCTCTTTTATATACTTGTGCCACCGCCGCCGCCGCCGCCGCCGCCGCCTTTCCCGTCCCTACCGACTGTACCTACCCACTTCTATATCATCCTTCCTACGTTTTTACTACCGTTTGCTTTTTCTTAGAATTCTGCATGAAGCAAAATCACCAATTAGTCGCAGGGTACAAATGCGGCGATCTAACGGACAATTCCGGGTGATTTTTTTTCAGTGGCGTTTTTGGTACTAGCAAGAACTTGAACAAGAAAGGTTTGATCTGGATTCGTGTCGTAATCAGGACAAATGTTAAGCAGAACATATAGGGAAGATTTTGTCAAATTGACAGAACGATCACATTGATTAATGGTAATTTGTGTAATGTAGAAGAAACAGTATTCTGTATTATTACGTGTACAGTTCCGATGATATGCTAACATTACCACGGCGGTTGGCATCTAAAAAGTCCTATCTTCAATATATGAACTGCGCCGATACATTGGCAATGATCTACTTTTCCAAGATACGTTACGTCTGTATAGTCAAGCGGAGACAAATCGGTAGGCTACGAACTGTCACGAGTTCAAAGCATCTAAACCATGCTTTAGATCTACATGTACCAATACTAAGATAGCTCAATAAGAATTGCCCCAGTAGCGTTCGTCCCTCACGCACCATTTATGAAATATTCAACTATGAGTAGGAATTAGTAGGAAGTGACGAATGATATAAGCTTCATCAAGCCGCGAGTCAAAGCTAAAAAATGCTCCCTTAGAACTGATACTCAACTTTGGATCGGCTTTACTTCAAGGTTAAAAATGATAATCGCGTTTGTGGCCTTGGCCATAAATCGTGAAGAACAATCTGTGAATTATGAAATTCCGAAGCTTCATTTGCTTTTCATGTCAATATTTTCCATTAATGTTTAGGGATATTTAGTCAGACAAGGCTTCAGTATTTTTAACTTATTTTATGATTAAAAAAATTAGTTTAATATTTTTTTATAGTCTCATGTTTATATCAAAATTTGATGAAATTTCGGCCATAAATCGATCTAAACTTTCAATCATATGAGTTTAAATGTCACTTCAATAAAGAATGGTCACTATTCTTCGTTTGCCTTGAAATTTCCATATTCATGCTAAATAATAATTGATTTTTCTCATAGATTTTTGTAATCGTAAAAATTCGACATCGAATGCAATTCAATTTTTGACATATTTAAAATTCGAGGATATTATAGCTTGAATTTTCGACATCTTCACAGTTTTTTAGTATTACACCGATCGGGAAATAGATAATTAATAGTGTTGAAAAAATTGATAGGTTTCTCGATGAAAGGTTCCATAGAAAATCTAATGTCAACTTATCATGGTTGAAGATGTCACGTTCTCACTTCTGAATAGATCATTGATCCCCTTAGCGATAACTTTCTTAATTTGTCGAAATCCTGCCCTAGCTCGTTCATCAAATGTGCCAACTGCGGCGCAGACCACACAGCCAGCTTCAGAAAATGCCCAAGCCGCCTAACTGAAACTGCAAGAACCCCAGCCTCTTCACTCCCTTCTTTCCTCAGCGGGGTCATCCTACCCTTCCTTGAGATTGGAAAGAAATCCATGTCCACTAATCTGTAAAATTCAAGGTTCTCCCCCATAGTCTCGCATCGCTCAGTGAATACGTGAGAATTCAACTTACCATTGAAGATAAATTCACTCGTGTTTACTCCCTATGCAACCCCCCTGATATCCTCTTCGACACAAAACTTCTCTCTCACCTCGAGTCCATGGGAATCACCACCCTCATCGCAGGGGACTTTAACGCCAAGGACCCCAGTTGGTCCCCCTCCGAGCAAAACTAGTCAGGAAAAATCCTCCGGGACCCTCACTAACCCTCCCTCAAAATGACCGACGGGATAAAAAAAAAAGTCTTTACAGGGGTGGGTAAATCGACTCAGGGGATGATTCTGAGTCGATCTGTACCTATAAATTTCAACCTTTTTTCCCACCCTCACTAATACATTCCCAAGAGGCCCGACGGGGTAAAAGTCTATATAAAGAAAAAATGTCTCCACAGGGGTGGGTAAATCAACTCAGGGGGTGATTCTGAGTAGGGTTGAGGGTGGGAAGAGTGTGCCAGGGTTCAAAGGAGGTTGGTGGGATGAATTCATTCGGAAAAAATGATGGTTGATGGTGGAATGAGTCATGGAGAAAATGAGGGTTGATGGTGGGATGAGTGCATTGGAAGAAATGCAGAGTTGGGGCTGGGGTGAGTTTGTCAGAGTGAAATGGGGGTTGATGGTGGGATCAGTTATGGAAACAACGAGGGTTGATGGTGGGATGAGTGGATGTGACAAAATGGGGGCTTGACGGTGGGATGAATACATGGGAGAAACTGAGGAGTTGAAGGTGGACTGAATTTATCAGGGTGGACTGGGGTTTGAGGGTGAGATGAGTGTTGCAGGGTGAAATGGGGATTGATAGTGCGATGAGTCGTGGGAAAAATCCTCATTTCTGCCCGACACACTCATCCCACCGTTAAGCCCCCATTTTGTCCCATCTACTCATTCCACAATCAACCCTCATTGTTTCCATGACTGATTCCATGACTGACCCCCATTTCACCGTGATACACTCATCCAGGTTACAACGTTTCATCTTTTCTCCATAGAATCATCCCAGGCTCAACGCTCATTTTTCCGATGCACTCACCCCATCATCAACCCTCATTTTCTCCATGACTCATTCCACCCTCAACAATCATTTTTGCTGAATGAATTCATCCCACCATGAACCTCATTTGTACCCTGCCACATTTTGTAGACCTACCCTGTCGGGCATCTTGGAAATGTAGTAGTAAGGTTGGAAGAAACGGTTGAAATTTATAGGTACTGATGGACTCTGAATCACCCCCTGAGTTGATTTACCCATCCTTGTGGACACATTTTTTTTTTCCCCTGTACCGACTTTTACCCCGTCGGGCATGTTGGAAATGTATTAGTGAGGGTGAAAAAAAAGGTCGAAATTTATAGGTATAGATCGACTCAGAATCATCCCCTGAGTCGATTTACCCACCCCTGTAAAGACTTTTTTTTTAACCCGTCGTCCATCACAGAACAGGTTTAGTGAGGGTCGAAAAAAGTGGATTGCAGATTTGGATACATCTCCCCCCCCCTCGCCCCCCTCGCCCTCCTCGCCACTCTGTTCAGATATAAATCTCTCATTCCACCTTAGTGGCATATCGAATAAAAAAATTTTTCGCCGCCCTCCAAAGCCCCATGTCCGATGTTGCCCTGGTTTCCAGCGATTGCCGTAGTTAGCGATAAGGCAGCTCCGTCTAGTTGCCCCCCCACATGCTGCTATTAATTATAATTTTTTTTTTAATGATTATTACCGATTAATAGATTATTGTTTGATGATCGACTCCGTTTGTTTGACGTACCATATATTTTTTTTCAATTTTTCAAAATTGAGCAAAAAATTGATAAAAGTTGACCTCCCCACTCTCGGATTTTATAATTTTTTTTTTTTAATTAAAGATCATTGTTGATAGATTATTGTTAGATCATCGATATTTCCGCTCGTCATTAATTTACAGCGGAATAATTAAGTTTCGATTGTCATGATAATCATACAGACTCCCGATTTTTCAAAATGTCGTCTAAACAGCTGCTGGGTCGTTCAATTTGAAGTAAAGTGCAACGTCGTTGGCCTCTTGGAGCAATTTCCAAAGGGCTATCGTGGTCTTTGAAAATGATGTCGGACAATTAAAAATTATTTAAAGCTTTCGCACAATCAAATTACGTTCCTCCATTGGTGACTGAACTTCTGAGGCATCATGGGCAGTGGAATCATGTCAGGCTACAAACTTTCTGAATGTACTCCTTGGACTCATTCAATGCATGATAGGAGTAAGACACAGGCGATGTCATACCCCTACACTTATCACCAACCATATAAGTTACAGTCCATTTCTGCAAGCATGATAGTTGTACGTGTTCGATAATACGTTTCATTTCTAGGATTGAATTGGTGATACAACTCTATGACGATCACCGATTCCTTTGGCAATTTATGGACCCACTGGGTGGTCAGAAATGTCAGACTAATAGATACAAGGCAATATTCAGGGGAAACATCGAACCTCGAATATTATCATCAAGGTCACTGGAAATGAAAGGTAATTAAAACTCGGCCCCCATAAATTCAGTTATTTCAATACGTATTCATAAAAAAAAACGAATTTTCAACTATTCGGATACCCAGATCCATTACGTATTTATTTCTGGAAATCAAGTAACACCAGTAATGATCTTATAGAAATATATAAAAACTTTATTTCATGCAAAATTCCAACGATTGAATAATTATTGATTAAAGACTATGTACGGTCAACATCTTTGGTCACGTCAGTACATAAATTCCTCCATGAGGCTCAATGACATCAGAAGAGTCTGCATCCTGCACCGATATTGAATAGCTATCATGCAATGCCCATTTCGTCCCAGCTCTGAGAGTATATACAACGAATCTGCTCGGGCGAGTAGAAACAAATGCCACTATTCCAGCCAGCCTGAAATCAATGAGATTTATCATTTAATTGGAGATCAATAATAAGACTTATTACAGGACATTCGCATTCCTTATCTACAATTGGAGAAATAGATTATATTCACCTTAATTGATGCATTCCCAAGTCCAGACACACCGGAACATCCTGAAGCTTGCACTTTGAACTTTGTTCTCTCAGTCAATCCAATTTACCACTCAAAAAAATGGGAATTTTTTCTATTTTATAATTAAAATGTTGCCATATTTTTTATTAAGAAAAAAAAATGGGAATCAC